GCCTATTTTGTGGGCATTATAGAACATTGGTGCTAGTTCTACTAATAAGTGGTAAAATTGACTGATAGTGTAACTAGTGTGTTGAATCTTATTTCTCAACATCATATCCATAAGGCTAAGATGCATATCCGGTCTTCTAATAACTATTCGTTTTAGACGCATTTTTCCACGGCCGCTTTCGCACTTAAAAACATTTTTAAAACCAATTTTTAAATTGGTAAGCGCCAACTCAATTTTTAATTGGGATCTATTCAACCTCCCTTTTAGATATGCACCATCGTCTAACATCTAATAGCTTCAAAAAAAACTCCACTTATTAGAGAGTATTGACCTTGTACAATGGTTTTGCTACCTCCCCTGAAAAACATGTGCTTATCTTGCACAAAGTTTCCCCCATGGTGAAAAATGACATCAAATACCCCAATTTCTGCAAATACACAAATAATCAAATATTAAAATTTGCAGAGAAAACGTACATGTGGGACCTAATTAGACTTACAGAAATAATGTGTTCTGGACTGGGCCCCGGCGTGACCGAGCAGACCTAGCCCAATAATACTTGAGAAGGCCCAATCAGGCCTATGTCACCCACGTCGAGCACAAGGGTCCCCGTCGGCCAGACACTGCCCCCGTTCAGCAGAACCTTTCCCCGTCGGACAGATCAACATGTCCCCCACACGTTCTCCACGTGCCCCTCATCCGCGGGGACACGTCACTAACCAACTGCCCACCTCCGAAAGAGCAGGTCAACCCACTTTCTGGAGTTCACGGAGCAGTTGAACTAGGGCGAAGACCATGTTCTGGTCTTCACTACGTCACGTAAGCCCTAGCAGTCACTTGGGTTGGGCCTGGCCATCCAGCCCAACTCAAATGACCGTTGGCCCTGCACTGGGGTCTCTCTATAAATACCCTCTTCCACAAGAGGGTCAGGTATTCAATTCTCTATCCCTTTTTTGTATTTGCCGTCACTCTGTCCAACCTCTTACTTTGGCATCAGAGTGACTTGCAGGTACACCCCCTTCCTCCTTCTCAACACCGGTGAACAGGCAGCAGTCCAACAGAGTGTGGCCAACCAGCGATCCCCTTCTGATCAGGTCAGATCTGTGACGCCGTCTGCGGGAACATAAACTTCCCCGTTCCTCCGAGCAGAGAACCAAAGTTTCTTCAACATTTCACGATCATGTCTAGCCCACACCATAATGATTCCGTTCACGACCTAACTCACGCTCAAGCCACCAATAGCGGGAACCAAGTGGGGACATCCTAGCCCCCAGAGACCGACGCGAGGGACGGCCATACTACCTCCCCCTCATCCGACGAAATTACACGCCAGATCGTTCCTCGGGCAGGGAGCCCGGTAGCATTCCATCCCATCCTCGTTTCGGCCGGAGCAGACCCGACGGTGGCCGCCCTCTTTGCGATCATCAACCAAACAAATCAGCTGTTGTTCCAATATAACGAGCGCATTGGCGCATTGGAGCACGAAGCCCCGTTCCGGTCCCCTCCGAGGGAAGACTAGAACGGGAACTCGAGGAGTCCATCTCCCCGTCCTAGAAATCACCGACCACGGTTGGAAAGGTCCCAACCCGTGGCCTCTAAGAAAAGGCCTAGGTCACCCCCCAGGAAGGAGAGGCGAGCCCTTCTCATTTCAGAGTTTCCCTTCTGATGTTTCTTCTCATAAGGGTTAGAGGCTTCTAACTTCAGATAAACACCATGTCTTTTCTTGGCCTCTAACCAAGATTGCTTCTGATTCTTCTTACTAGAAGATGCTTTCAGAGCTTTCACTACCTCTCTTTCAGAGTTTCACTCATTCAGACACAACTCTTGCACCTCTAGACTACTCTGCAACTATTCAATTCTCAAGGTGACGAGGTCTTTAGAATGTTCAATTACTGCAACAAGGTAATCAAACCGAGGATTAAGTAATCTCAGTACCTTTTCAATAATTACTTGTTTAGAGAGAGTTTCTCCACAAAATTCATCTCATTTGTGATCAGAATCACTCTGGAGATGTAATCAGGTACCTTCTCATTGTTCTTCTTGTTGAGATTCTCATACTGCTTACGCAGGAACTAAATTTTCACCTACTTCTTTGATGCATCACCACCATAACACCATACCAATTTGTTTCACGCAACCTTCGTCATTGTTGAATCAACAATCTTCTCAAACACATTTGTATCCACACACTGATGGATAGAGAACAACACATTATGTTTCTTCTTCATCGTTTCTCAATGTGTGTTTCTTTGTGCTTCAGTTGCATCTGTTGCAACTGTTGTGTAACCGTCATTGACGGGATCAAAAACATCTTGAGCGCCAAACAACACGTGCAACAGAATCATCCATCGATTCCAATTCTTTGTATCAAAGACTGGAAGCTTTATGTTTAAGTTATCTTTTTCTCTGTTCATCTTCGTTCTTGTGCAAGTTCACTCAAAAACCTCACCAACACTCATGTTTCCCAATCCCTTATAATCAAGAAATGTGATTCTGTTTCACTTGAGATCTTCAATTCATTATGAATTGAATGAGTAGAATCAATCACACAAGCCTCACGTATACTCGTGTTTCTCGTTCCTGAATTTGAACCGGAGTTCTATATACCAATTGTTGGTGCACAAAATTGAAGAATGAAGATGAAGAAGATGAAAAACAAGAGAGAAAACTATAACTAACTTTTTAACAAAATTAAAAAATTAGTTACGAATTAGAATATGTTACAAGCTGAACTAAACTTAATTTATATACTATCTGAACCATTGAAATGAAATTCAAATGCAAACTAAATTAAATACAAACAACATCTCATACAAATCTCATACAATCATTGTACTTTTGGATATTTTGTGAGTGCTTTGGAACATTATCCAATAGGACCCTCAAAATAATATTGATGCCATACTTAGAGAGAAACTCTTTGTTTTGCGTGTGTTTATAACCCTTCATTAAGTTGGAAATATAGTCGAAACATTTGGAGGACATTTCACACAAAAAACACCAAATAATCTTGTAAGATCACTCTCTTGAAGTGTTATTGATGGTTTCTGTGCACTCCATACGATGGTCTCTATAATATGTCTGATGGTGTATTTGCAAATACTCCAAAGGATGAAGTTAGTAACAACCGTGAGGATAAAGTTCAAAATTTAAATAGTGTATACTTAAAATTGTATTGTTTCTTTCCATATATGATAGACTTCTAGGGGCCATAAAATCTTGTTTAGAAACATCAATCTTATGAAAAAGATGTTAATAGATTTTACGACCATTTGTATTTGCCGGTCCCTGATGTTATTCACCTCTAAGAAGAGGGACGGATCCATAAATTTTTGGAGGTAAAATAATAATAATAATAAAAAAATTAAGATGATCAAAAATAGTTTAAATTGAGCGTGTTAGTTGAATTAAATGTGTGATTTGGTTAGAATTTAATTATTTGTGACAGAAAAGTAAATTATTGATATTTATAAATCAACAACTTAAAAAAATTAATAATAATAATAATAATAGAGTTAATAATTAAATAATAAAAGAAATATATTATTTTATATCTAAAAAAATAAAGACAGTTCGATGTCTGCTATTGAGATATGTTTCATATTTTCATAATTATATGCTCAATAATCATATATAATTTATTTATCATGTTATTATATTTTTTTTACATATATTATTATACTTTTATTTTACATAAATGAAATAATTTAATATTTTTAGTGGGAGCAATAATGAATTTTTAATAAAAGTAGTAAAATATAACAAGTTGATTGTATATATTAGTAGGGGCAAGTGCCTCCAATTTATTCCATCTCGATCCGTCCGTAGGAAGAGTGTATCTTCTAATTTACTATTTGTCATATTGTTTTGAATGATCAAATTTGGATTAGTTCCGGGTCCGAACCAAAAGATGTATAAATATTTTTAAAGCTTAAATAATTTATTAATTCATTCAAGTTAACGAGTTTTTGAATTTGATCCTTATAATTTATGTATTTTTGCCTAAATCCCTATATCTCTTTTTTTTCATGTGATTTAATTCTTAAAGACAAAATCCATTCTTAAAGACAAAATCCACAAATTTCTAGCATATTTTTCTACAAATTTTGCTTTTGCTTTTAAAGACAAAAACACACGTATAGAATAAAATATAAAAACTCATAAAAAAAATTATAAAAACTAAACCCAAAACGTCAATGACTTAACCTACATTCAATTATCATCTCTAATTGATCAATTTAATACACATTATAAAAGTCTCTTGTCACCTTTTTTAGTAGAATACAAAAGTCTCCTAATAGAGTTGTCACCTTTTTTTAGTATATTACAAAAGTCTCCTAATAGTGGAGTCGTCACCTTTTATGCTAGATTAAGAAAATCACAAAGTTACCAATACGTGTTGGTCTCTATAAAAATTTACCATATATGATATAAAAAGCAATAAAAAAAAAATCTAATACAAATTTTTATAGGAAAATCTCATTGATTTACATAATCTCATGAACAAAAACAAAATGACAACATGTACCTAAAAAATAGAAGAAGAAAAAAACATCAATTTGTATAAAAATCCAGCTATCATAAATAATTTAAAAGAGTACAAAGATCTTTAAGAATCTTTATTTATGACATGTGTCCAAACCAACCAACCTCAATTATTTTATGCCAGAGCTGTACACACTAAAAAAAATAATAATAATACAAAATTGGATATCTACATGGAAAGAAGCATACAACTTAATTTTTTTCAATAAAATAAAACCTCATGGACATAAAAAAAGATTAAAAAACAAATTAAACTAAGAGTCAGTGGCTTCTACACATACCTTACCATAAAAAAATTATGACCCTTCACCTTATGGAATATCCTAAGAATATATGTCCAAAAATATATACATGATGTTACAAAATTTCTAAAAAAGAAAAAATTAGAGGCGAAAAAATTAATCTGTCTCTAAATTTAAAGACAAATATTTTATTTTTCGTCTCTAAATTTTTTGTTAAGATCTAGAAGTATATCTCCGAAATCCTCTTGGTGTAGGTATAGTCGCTTCGCGACCGGTTTTTAACAAAGCGAGACGATCTTTGATTGTTTTATCAAACAATCTGTTTTCTGGATTTTCAGCATAGCAAACATAGTAACAACTTACACAAGCATGAGGTACTGCCATTGAAATCCTTGTCTGCAAAATCAACAAGTTGATTATTATGTTAAGATTTGATCACATGTTAATTAATCATTGTTAGCACTAACAATAAATAATGGTTAATTGCAACTTTGGTAGGTCTCAGAATTATTTATTGACTTGAATATATATTTGTTCCCTTACTTTAAAACAAAATGAATTTTGACCCCTCTATTTTGAAAATTTAGTTTTTTGCCCCTCTATTTTAAAATAATTGAAGGACCAAAAAATAAATAAACTAAAATATATGAAAAAAGTGGTCAAATAAGGGAGACCTACCAAAAGGTATCCAATGAAGAAAGTGAGTAAAGATAAGGTAGCTGTGAAACTTTGGTGAACACTTTGAGTCCAAGAAGCCATAACAATAACACACATAGAGCCACTACAAACTCCTGTTAGGAAACAAATTGAGCTGGTTATGTCAGCATCTACAATTGGCACCATGTCTTCCTTCTCAAATAGGGACCATGTGTCTTGTGATGCCATTACAAAACCTTTTCCATAGGCTGCTATCTGTTGTAAGATGAGTTGAAAGATTAGTTAGGTAAAATGAATAATTGGGAGATAGTGATTGGTGAGTGAAATTTTAAACAAGGGAAATGATGCCAACAAATTTGAAAGTCGGTAGGGTCCGGTACGGTCCGGATAGTAAAGGAATCCAACAAATCGCATAACCAAAACAAGAAGAGTTTAATGACTATGCCATTTGCCGGCGTACGACTATTTTACAATACAGGCCGTCTTAAGTTTTTAGAGGTTCTATGTAGTCATGGTTTAATTGCACCAGAACAATTAGGGTCCCTACCCTGTGCAGCAGACTGTCTTGCACGTCCTCAAAGACGGCCTCTGTTACATGATCATTCAAGTAAATCTAATCATAGATATTTGACCAACTAGGCTCACTAAGTAGATAAGTTTAAATAAGTCAATCTAAACAGATTTTTGATTGTGAAGTTACCTGTACATAAGCCCAACTATTGCCATTTCTGAAAATCGATTCCATGACGCCTAAACAACAACGAGCGCAACAAAACATGAACTCGTCTTCTCCCTCGAGCAAATTCAGCCCCCTAGCAACAATTCTCAATGCTTCAATTGTTGGCACAAATAGAGAACCCAAACAAGCACTACCAAGATTGCGAGTCAATGCTCTCAGAAAGCAAAATTGCGTGCTAGATTGCATTCCTCGCAGGTAATACAATGCAATAACCCTACTAACCGTTATATTAACAACATTCCTCATAACCTCGGTTGTCCACATCAAACTCACCACCAACCCGATAATAACCAAAGGCGGAAAATAAAAGTTCAAAGCTCCAACAACAGCTAAAATCCATAGCGATATCCATAAGAACCCAACCGCAAGCATATTGTAAGTAGGTCGATTCAAATCGCTGAATTTTGACATAGGTTGAAGCGACAGAGTCAAGATCTTACAACAAAACTTAATTCTATGACTAGCCCAACAACCATATAAGCCATTTCCAATTGCGAAAGCAATGAAACAAACACCGACACCATCGGTCGGAGCCTTTTGGAAGCAAATAAGAAGAATCCCGGCGGCAAGAGACATCACAAAAGTAAACCAAAGTATGAAATGAACCATAAAAGTTGGCCATTTTCGAATTGCACCTTGCCAGATAAAAGCAAGAATTATGCTCATAAAAGTTGCAGCTTCCACTTGTGGAAGAAAATACTTCAACACTTTTTTCTCTTTTCTTTTAACAGAACCAGATTCTTGTATAAGTCCTTGGATTCCCTTGAAAACGAGAAAGCACACAAAAGCTATAGCTAGTAATTGGTGAAATAAGAATATAAACAAGGATATTCTGTTGGTATATCTTCTTGAATTCAATGTCACCGGTTGCGGCTGAAAAAAAAAACAGAATCATATAAATCAAAAAACAATATAACAAAAACTAAAAAATGAAAATTTCCTTAATCAAATTTGAGCTCAACAAGAAACCTTCATAACCGTTTAACCAAAAAAAAATGTAAATTTCAATAAAGTATTTGACTTAACAAGACATAAGAAACTTTTGTAACCGGCCGTCTCTAAAGGACGTGCAAAACAGGCTACTGCATATAAACTATCACGATTATATTAACAAATAAGAGCTTCATACAATATCTGTCGCAATTAAACAATAAGAAAATATCTGTCACGATTATACTGTAAGACGTCCATAACCCTTACCTAAAATAATTTATAAAGAAAATGTAAAATTCAATGAAGTAATTGACATGAACAAGACACTTCTATGAAAACAAAACAAAATCAAAATCAAAAGAAACATACTTGTGGTGGTGGTGGTTGTGGAGTTTGAATTGGTGCTGGTGCTGGTGCTGGTGTTGGTATTGGTATTTGTGTTGGAACAGAACGTGTATTTGCATGAGAGCGTTGAGATTGAGTTGGAGGAGAAGGTCTTGCAGCTCTGGTTGAGCTATTAATCACAATCCTCAAAGGGTTAGTAGGATTCAATCTATGAAATCTAGAAAGATTAAACTCTTCATCATCATGATGACCATGACCATGACCATGGTCAACATTCTCACCATCATCAACATCATTGCTTTGAGTTTTTCTCTCATCAAAACCCACTTCACCTTTCTCCAAATCCCTTCCCCTTTCTTCCCTCATTCCACCTTCACTTTCATTCCCTCTTTCAACACCCACCTAGAAAAAAAAAACAACAAAAAAATTAAAACTTTACAAAAATAGTAACAACCCATTTTGAAAAAAATAAAAATAATGAGTTTAATACATGTTCCGTGGCACCCATTTGGAAAATTTAAGATTCTGGTGTTTGACGGCGGTGACAACGGTGGTGTTGTGTTTGATGTTTTTTTTTTCTGAGAGAATAATGTTGTTGTTGTGTTTTAGATTGGTAAAGATGACGTTACTGGGTTTGCCTATACCGTTTATCTCACTTTCATTCAGCTGTGGGGTCCACTGGGTATTGTTGTTTGTGGAGGAATTATGACGCGCTATAAACGAGATTGGAGAGTACGCGCCTTTGTGTTGTCGCTGTTTCACGTGTCAGAGAAAAACACAGCACGTGGAGGAAGAAAACTCGTGTAAAAGAGAATCACTTTCTAGTTTCTATTACCAGCACTATTTTTAAATAAAAAAATATTAGTACAAATTTTTTAATGATGAAATATTCTTTTTTAATCATTAAAAGAGACTCTTAAAATTATTTTATACAGGTAGACTCTTTTTATAATATTGAGGATATCATAGACTTTTTATTTGGGGTTGAAAATGAAGCACGGTAAAAAAATACAACTAAACTTTTTTTTCACGGGAAATACATATAAACTTTTATTCATTGAAGTTTTTATGTTTTAAAAATATATAGAGTAGAAATTCATGTAAGAAACGGAGGAAAAAAATACTTATTTAAACGGTTGCTCCAACATAAATAAATATCGTTTTATTTCTTGTATAATCAAATTTAATTTATTTAAATCACAAAATTTTATAAGAGTTGGGGATGATCTACCTCTCTTTGCTTATGGAAGCTTTTTTTTTTTTTTTTCCAGAAATCGATCAGTTAAGTGTTTTTAATCCTTTAAATTGAACATTTCAAATATTTTTAATTGTGAGCAAACATCGATTTTGAATGAAATTTCAAAATAACCTAAGTCATTTGTCGAAGCTATAAATAATGTGTGTAACATACCTCTAAGTCAACTTCCAACTCCTTGCGTCAAAGAGGATCGGTTGACCATTGTTATACCGGAGGAAGAATATCAAAAGGGGGTTGAAGCTTGCAAGCACAATTTGCACGGTAGAATTATCTGGACAAAAGGAACTTCTCCTCTAACGGTTTAATGCCTAAAGACGAAGCTGCTAGGGCTATGGAAATCGATTGGGAAGTGGGAAGTTACCTCTATGGGAAAAGGGTATTATAAATTTTTGTTTTCTAGCTTGGAATATATGTGACATGTTAGATCTATTTCTGCGTGGAATATGGGTTCAGGTAATTTAAAGCTTTTCAATTGGAGTAAGGAATTCAACCCAGCTCTTTTAAAGCAAACATCTGCTCAGGTCTGGGTTTGGATTCGTGGCTTGGCTCAAGAATACTGGAGGTCACGCATTGTCTTCGCTATAGCGAGTAGTGTGGGTACGCCTTTGTGCACAGATTCAACATCTAATAGTTATTGTTTTGAGTGGCCTTTTGGGCATTTTGTCAGAGTCTTTTTGATATGAAGTTGACCAAGGAGTTGAGGTACATAGTACTGGTAGAGAGGAAAGGTTATGCTTTTTTTGTGTGGAGTTGGAGTATGAAAATCTTCCTAAGTTCTGCACAACTTGTGATATAATAGGGCACAATCTTGGCAGCTGCAAAAGAAAAGGGGAGAATGTTGAGGCTGATGGAATTTCGGGGTATCAAAGAAAAACTGAATGAAAGGTGTACAAGAAAGTTATCAACAATGCACATGAAGAGGTCAATAATAATAACAAGGATAAAGAAGTGATTGGTAAAGCTCATAGTGGGGAAACGACTCACCAAGGGGAAGCAACAGAACAAGCCATGACTGATAAAGATGATGATGTTTTACTGGCAGTTCAGGCTCGTTTGGTTGATGATCCTATTCTTTACTTAGTTCAAGGATTAGAGGGTGTTATTGTTGTAACACCCCAAATTTAATCATGATATTTGAATTAATTGTTTAATTTAGAATATTCATGTTTCGGTGAATTCCGATGATTTTGTGATTATTAGAAAATGTGCATTTCGGATATTTATTTGATTAATAGCATATAATATTAATTTATTAGTATTATTATTAATTAAATGGAAAATAAGTGAAATAAGGGCAATCTGGGCATTTAAGGAAGTTAGTAAGGGTAATGAGGAAAAAACCCAATGTGTGAGGCCCATGACTAAGTTAGACAAAATAAAGTTCTGAGAGGAAATTGGAATTCATTTGTGTTTAACGTGAAAGTTTGGTGTGGCCAGAGCTCTGAAGGAAAGGTTGAAGGCAGAAGGTCCCAAAGAGAAATCGTGAAAGCTGCGAATCGACTAAGGTATGAGGAGTATTTTTGTTCATGATTTTCCATGTATGCCTTTAGATGTATTCATGGTGGATTTAGGATTTGAGGGTTTCTGGGTTGAATTGGGGAAACTAAGAGTTTTGATTATAGAACTCTGAGATTGTGGGTTATGGTATGAATCACTGAATATTAATGTGAGTTTGGAAACCAAAACCTTGTATTGTGATATGTTTGACCCTGTAGGAATAGAAATATTCAAATGTGAGTACTCTGATGTACTCAGAGCAATTGCAGGAAATAGTGTTTTAGGCAATGCAGATGTTGTCGGATTAGCCTAATGAACCATAGAGTTCGTACCGTTATTGTCGTATAACCTTAGGGATGGTTTAGGGATAATTTGGGGGCATTGGGTGAATTATTCGTATGAGTTTTTGGGTGGAAATCAGTTCTGGTGCGTAGCAGAAGTTGCTATCATCGCACTGTTCACCTAGCGAGCAAGCCAGCGAAGGTTCGCTACAAGACTCGCCTAGCGAGCAAGCCAGCAAGTATTCGCTAGAGGCTCGCCTAGCGAGCGAGCCAGCGAGGGGCTCATTACAGGACTCGCCTAGCGAGCGAGCCAGCGAACGTAGCAGAAGTTCACGAAATTGAGTATTGTGCAGCGATGCCGTGATGTGTGATTCTGGGATTTTTGGGATGAGTTACCATGAGTGTGACAGTGGATTTTAGGTGATGTGTACATGATGTTATGATAGTTCTATATGATGCATCGATTGAGTTAGTATGATGAAATTACCATGATTTGTTGAACTATGTGATAACATGAGATATGATGCTTTATGTGATTTATGTGATGATGATGAATATGATGAATGATGATGCACCATATGCTGTATTATGAGGATTATTATTGTGACGTGTGCATCATGCATTCATGCGCATTCGATTGCTTTGGCTTCAATCCCATTGTGTGGATGTGAAGTATTTTGACGTGCTCTGATCCTATTGATGGGGATCTATGGAGGGTTGATGGCCCAGTGTCCATCGAGCTGTGATGATTGGTACCACATGCATTGAGTTGTGTGCATTTCATTTATGTGTCTTTGTGTATAAATTATGTTGTTGTGACCCTTGAGGCATATGTGAGTAATATGAATGTGTTGAATGTGAATATGTTGTCGTTTATGCATTAATTGTCATACATTGATTATTATGAATTGTTTTACTCACCCTTCCTGTTTGAATGTTACCTCTACGTGGGTAACATGCAAATGATCCAGTTTAGCCGTGGACGCCGGCGAGGAGTTAGTTTTGAAGTTTTTGAGCGTTTTAGTCTTTTGGTTAGCTTAGAGGGTCTTGCTCTGATATGTAACATCAGGTTGGGTTCCTTGAGTTGATTTTATACTATTGATGTTGTTTTGATTAATTTCCCTCTTTGAGGAAGACTTTGAAGTATGTTTTGAATTCCGCTGTTTATGATGCTTTGATGTATTTTTGGGAAAAATCCGTAGTTACAGAGTATGGATCCTATTTTGATGAATTTGAGAATGTACGCCCTTTTAGTGGCATTTTAGTGAGATTTATTTATTCACTCTGATTTATGTGTTATTTTGCCTTGATATTTCTGGGGTAGAAAAAGGGTGTTACAATTGTTCCTCAACAGAATTACATTGGGGGCTGGAGATGTGGAGAGTTCCGGAGGGGGATCTAGCTTCATAGCTACGACGCATGATATTAATGATGAAGAAATTGCTGAAACCAATTTTAATCAGTTGGATAATGATGTGTTGTTCTTGAATTCTTCTTAGGCTAATATGGTGGAAATGGAGCAAGGAAGGCAGGGTAGAGGAGCAAAAAAGGATGATGGAATCAGTGTGGATGCTGATGGTTTTCAGATGGTCAAAGTCAGAGCAAGAAATAAGTTAAGCAAGAAACATTCTGGTTGGAGGAATTATGCAACAAGGTCTAGGCTTGATAGCACTCAAAATTCTCCATGAATTGCATTTATTGGAATGTGAGAGGAATAACCAACTCTCATATAAAATTGACTTTAAAAAGGTTGATTCAAAATAACTATCCTCAGTTCGTTTTCATGTCCGAGCCTTGGATGGACGTAAATTCTTTCCCTCTCTCTTGGCTTAATAGACTTAATCTAAAGATCTTTGTTATTAATAGTATAGGAGATCTTCCTCCTAACTTGTGGTGTTTATGTGATAAAAACATTAATCCTGACATTGTGGACATTGGAAATCAGCACATCTTTTTCACATTCAAGTCGAAGGAGCAAACTCTAGGTATTATGGTGGTGTAAGCGTCTACTTGTTATGTTGCTAGGAGAAATATATGGAGAGAGATTCAAAGATTTCTGAACTAGGCTTGCTTACCTTGGTGTTTAATAGCGATTCTAATACCATTATTAGAGCTCATGAATATATCGGTTCTAATTCTCCTGCTAGAGGCCCCGTGGAGGAGTTTAGTGATTGGACTTATGACAATCACTTAGTGATATTCCAACTAGCGACGTAAAATTTATTTGGTCCAATGGAAGATGTGGAGCAAGGCACATGCAGAAGAGGCTGGACAAGGCTTTCTGTAACCATAATTGGTTGGATGCTTGCTTTATAACCGCTTGTTCCACTCTTGTTCGTAACATGTCTGATCATTATCCACTGCTTCTTAATTTTGATAGTCAGGAAACTAGATTTAAATCCCAATTCAAATTTCTTCTTGCTTAGACTCTGCATGAAGATTGCAACAGAGTGGTTGAATATCCTTGGAAGG